GTTAGTAGTGTTAATCTCTACTTTTTGATGGAGTATTTAGTCCATTTACATTTAGTACGATTATTAGAGTCTTTGGGTTTAAGTCTACCACCTTCATGTTTGATTTCTGTTTTTCCATCTGTTTCTCTATTCCTCCTTTCCTGCCTTTTATTTGGTGAGTCAAAGTTTTAAAAAATTTTGTGTGATCTTTACTGACTTTTTAGTTCTACCCTTTTATGTTACTTTTTTAGGGATTCCTGTAGAGGTTTAATTTGTTATGGTCTACCTTAAAAATTAATCCTGTACTTCACAAACAATGTGAGATCTGTATAGAGAGGGTCCCAGTGACCACCTTCTACTTCTTGTACTCTTGGAGGCATGTATAACTTCTTGTGCTAGAAAATTCTACAACACAATTTTAATCTTTAGCTAATATTCTTTAAAAATAGGGATGTGTTATACTTAATTTTTAAAGTCTCAGATGCCCTTATTTACTACATTGAGAATTTCTGAGTCCAGTGGCTAAGACTGTGCTCCCGTTGCCAAGGGCCTGGGATCGATCCCTGGTCAGGGAATTAAAATTCTACAAGTCTCTCTGTGCAGCCAAAATAAAAAAGAGAGAATTTCTGTAGAACTGCACCATACTTGGACAGACATGCTAAATGCATTAGTTGAACACTGTAAAACAAGCAGTGCCCACTGGCTTCAGGAGAAACCTTTGGACCCCAGTTCAGTGTGGTGGGTAGATAGATGTTCTGGCACCAGGCCTGGCTGGTCCTCACCCTGCCATGTACTCGCCATGTGGTCTTGTGCAAACCCATTTTCCCCTCTTTAAAAGGAATCTATTGTAGGCATTGTTGGGAGGGTCGAATGGGTTAATATGAGTGAAGAATTCAGAGTGGTGCTTGGCACACAGCAGGTGCCGTATGATTGCTGTTCTTGCTGTGGTTACACAGTGAGCCGGTTCACATCCCTTGGAGATCCAGGATCTGCAGCAGAAAGAGACTGTGACAAACCTCTAAGGTGTGAAAATACATACCATAGGAGAATAAACTTCAGATGATTAAGTTGATCATCCTTTCGGGAATGTTTTAGAGATAAAAGGGGCTACTAAAGTAATGTTCAGTGTAACTTCCTATTTTAAATTAATCTTTTTGCAACTGGATTCACACTCTTAAACAAGAATAGTGTTTGGGTGTCCATCCCCCGTTTGTTTCCCTGGGGCTGACTCTTGCCCAGTGGAGACAAGACCATCGTGGCCCGGCAGTTCTCTCCATGTGCCCTGCTGCTGACCAGGGGCAGCACATCGGAAATAGCCTCTGTGCCTACCATTGGGTTTTTGAATAAAAAAACCATGCAGTGCAGTTAGTTGTTCCCAGGGTAGAAGAATTATCTCCAACAAAGCAACTCGCCCTCAGGTGGCAGTTATCAACCAAGAACAAGCTACGGGAAGCAGCTGCCTGAGGACACCTGAGAAGGGACACGGCAGGCAGGTTCTGAGGGCAGCTTAAACTTAGAGGAAGTGGCGGGTCCAGAGTGTGTTTCCTGTTTGTACGTCTTAACTTTGAGGGCAGTGCAGTTGCAGCGGTGGTGTGGGGTGGTTAGAACTCTGGTGGAAAGACCGTGCTCTTCCTGTTGGACAGGGGGAGGAGCTGGGCAGATGCAGCTGCTGCAGAGCAAGAGAATTCCCAGGAAAAGGAATTATGCAAATAAATTCTGCTCCGATTTCTGGCCAAGCCCTGAACCAGGCACACACAGGGCAGGTAGGAAGCCACCTCAACCAAGAGTGAGGCCACCGCTTATCACAACATTGATGGTGATGGTTTCCTTTTTGAATCTAATGTAATTAATTCCCTGCTAAATCATAACCATAAACTCTCTTCCCTTGCTTCCCTTGTAGCTCTGTAAAGATTGATTCCTAGGTTGGGAAGATTCCCTGGAGAAGGAAATGGCAACCCACTCCAGTATTCTTGCCTGGAGAATCCCATGAACAGAGGAGCCTGGCAGGCTACAGTCCATGGGGTCGCAAGAGTCAGACATGACTTAGCGACTAAACCACTACCACCAAATCAAAACCATTCCTCTCTTCAGAGAAATATAATTGAATTCAGAGTCTCTGCAACATAACAGATTGCAGAGTCTTTGCAATCCAAAGTTACTCCACATAGAGAGAGCCGGGGTGCTGTGAACCATCCTCAAGGGAAAATACAATCAACAGACTCTCATCATGTGATGACTCAGGTGTTGGGTGATTAGACAAGCACTTCAGAGCCAACGGAGTAACTGTGTTCAGTGACGTAAAGGAAAATACACTCCTAGTGAACGAAAACATAGGAAATCTCAGCAGAGGGATAGAAAATGTTTTTTAAAACTAGCCAAATGGAAATTTTAGAATTGAAAAATATAACACTTGAAAGAAAACATTCACTGAATGGGCATAATAGACTGGAAAGGACAAGATGTAGTCATAGACTTCAAAAACAGATGAGTAGAAATCATCTGGTCTGGAGACAAACTGGGGAAGTGATGGGGGAAAGCAAGAGGAGCCTTAGGGACTCATAGGGCAGCGAGAAGCGTGAAATGCACGGTGACTGTGGGGCCCAGAGGGGAGGCAAGAGGCACGGTGGGGCAGGAGAAGTGCTTGAAGAACAGACTCTCCCAATACGGTGAAAAACATAGATTTATAGATTAAAGAAGCTCAAGGAGTCTCAAACTGGGTGAATATGACTAAAACCACACTTGGGCACATCATTTTTAAGTTATTGAACACTTTAAGATTCACTTTAAAAATCTTGAAAGCAGCCAGAGAAAAACAACAGATTACATACACACAGTGCTGCAAACACTAGGAACTTATCATCAGAAGGCCAGTGGAGTGCTGGAAGAAAGTCAACCTCCCAGCAGCATGTGCTAAATACAGATATTTTCAGAAAAAGGAAAGCTGATAGAATTTGTTGCCGTCATCTGTGTACTGTCAGAAATGCTAAAGGAAGTTTTTCCTGGCTGAAGGTAAATGCTATGAGAGTGAAACTCAGATCTTTATGAGCAAGTGACGAGCATCAAAAAGAGTAAATAGCTGGGGAAATGTCTTCTTTAAAGTATGTATTTAGGGACTTCCCTGGCGGTCCAGTGATTTACAATTCCACAAAAAAAGGTGAAATGTGTATTTAAAGAAAAAAATCAGAACGTGTCTTGAGTTTGTAATGCATGCAGGTGAAATGTGCGTGATGGCCATCACATGAAGGTTCACAGATCTGCAGGTTCTGCCTTGACACGTCGTGCTGTAGTGTTCTAAGCAGGCTGTGAAACAGGGTCAGAGCAACAACCATGGAATAATGCAGAGAACCATAACTAAAGAACTAGAAGATAAATTGAAAGGGAACTTAAAAAAAATTCAAATAATATAAAAGAAAGCAGGAAAGAGTAAAACACTGCAGAGATGAGCAGAAAACAAATAAAACAGTAGCCTTAAACCCAACCACAGTGTCATTACTTGCCAAAGCCCAACATCAAAAGTGATCCTATTGTAAACATGGACTTGAGGCAAGAGTGATGTGCCTGTGTAGGTTCGTCAGAGTACTTCTCTGGGGCAGGATGTTAATAGTGGGAGAGGATCTGCTTGTGTGGGGGCAGCAGGTGTATGAAACTCTCTTCCTTCCTGCTTAGTTGGGTGGTGAACAAAAACTGTTCTAAAAAAAATAATTTTTTATGTATTAAGACAAAGGAACAAGTAGAAAACAAATAATAAAATGGTAGACCTAAGTCTAACCACAGTGATATTTAACATTAATTATTAGTGGACTAAACTCTCCAGTTAAAAGTTAGAAATGATAAGAATGAGTAATAAGCAAGATCCTATGACATGCTATCTATGGGAGATTCACTTTAAGTATAAAAATCACAAGCTGAAAATAAGTGGATGCAAAATGTGTATGTATACAAATAGCACAAGATGGCTGGAGTGGCTGTACTAATATCAGGTAAAGTAGGTTCAAGATGAGTATTACCAAAGAGAACCGGAAAATTCTAGTGATAAAGAGGTTGTTTCGTCAGAAAAACATCAGTTACAAATGCACCCAATAAAGGAAATAATAAGCAATTCCACAATCATAGGCAATTTTAACATCTTTCTCTCACCAGTTGTTAGAACAAAAGACCTAAAGAAATCAGTGAAGACATAGAGGGTCTGAACAGTGTTCCTGGAATCTTGACCTGAGTGGTGTTTATAGAGCCACACCCATCAGAAGCAAAACACAGATTCCTTCAAGTGCATGTTGTCTAACAGACCAAATGCTGTGCCCTGAAACAAGCCTCCAGGAAAGGTAAAGAAGAAAAGCTGCATTTATTTGCATAGGACATGATTATTTATGTAGAAGATGCTAAGAAATCTGAAAAACTGCTTAGGATGGAAAAAAGCAAGAACCATTAGAGAAAAAATGGTTGCAGTTAATTTTATGAAAATGAAACATTTGTTCTTCTAAAGAGACCCATAAGAAAATGAAAAGACAAGTCACAGAATGGGAGAAATGTCTGCAGTACACACACCTGGCAAAGGACATGTGAAGAGCTAGCACGTAATAATAGAAAGACAACTCAGCCGAACACTGGCCCAGAGATATGAATAGACTCGTCACAAGAGATGTAAGGTGTGTGAGTTGCCCACAAGCAGGACAGAGGTGCTGACCATATCTAGTTGCAGAAACACAGATGGGAACAGAGGAGAACCACCGCCCACCTGCCAGTGTGTGATCACGACCTGGTGTGGCTAGAACAGGTGAGGTGCTCGGAGCTTTGGGGGCTGCATGTGGGGCCGTGGCGGAGAACAGCTGGGCGTTAGCTTCTCAGAGTTACCTTGACCCAGTGCTTCCAGATGTTGACCCAAGAAGAAGGAAGGCAAGTGACCGTGCAGGAACGGGCCCAAGAATGTCCTCGGCAGTGTTAGCCAAAATGCGGAAATAGCCATGTGGCCATTGGCAGGCAGTGGGCAGGGGAAGTGTCCTCACAGTGGATGCCACTGAGTCATGAGAGGGCAAAGTACAGAGGAATTCAAAGATCCCTATGGCTGTGCTGATGGGCCGGAGCCCAAACCAAGGTGCGTGGATGGTATGGTCCTTTCCCCTGAAATTGCAGGAGACACAGTCCATGTGTAGTGGTGGGGTCTGAGGAGGGGCGGCATGGTGTGCACACTGTCAGTGGTGTCTGTTAAGAAGCAGATGGAGGTGTCAGCTGAGCTGATTCCTGAATCAAAGGTGGCAGTGTGTGTGTGATACCAGTAGTTGCAACCGAGGGGACTTCACATCCTAGCAAGGGGCCGATGCCCCAGGAGAGAGCTGGTGTTTTTAACGGAGGTACTTGACTCCGGACTGGGGGAGCGCCATCTGCTCTATCAGCCTGGACTGAACCCATCACAGAGTGAGCAACAGGACAGACCCCAGCCTGGGACCCCTGGGCCCTGGGCCAGTGGACGGAGCCACTCGTCATCCCCCAGGCCCAAGTGCGCTCTTTGAGATACACCCTCCCTTGAACCTGAGCTCGTCTTCCTCATGCTCAGCTTCCTCCAACAGCTGTTTTTATTAAGAGAAAAGTCTTTTTAGAAGTGACTTGTGTGTGTTTGGGACAGATTATAATTGTGGTTCCCACCTTGAAGAAATTGGTTAAAAATCCAGCTAACGTTTACTTCCAGGGTCGTGCAGGCTAGTGTGTTTCCCTGGTTACTCTAGAGATGTGGCAGTGTGAGCACTAAATCACCTGTGCTGTCTTATCTCGAGTGGTTTCCGTGTTAGGAAGTTTACTTGAGGCCGGTGGTCCTATTTCGTCTGTCTGCTCTCGGGACCCACCGCCCGCCAGAAGCTCTTGCCCAGGGCTCCCTGTGCTGTCGCCCCAGCTGGAGGTTGCTCACCCGATCCTTCTGTGATGACAGCAGGTGGGCAGCTCGTCTTCCTCTGACCGGCCTGGCCCTTCAGAGGCACACCCACCGCCGGCCAGTTCTGTCTCTGGGTGAAAATGCTGGAAATTGAATGCGGGTCTTACAAGGACAGGATGAAGTGGTGGGTAGAATGGCCAGCTCCCCTGACCCCTCCACTCAGGTTCAGCCTCCCTTCTGGGAAGCCACAGTGCACGGGCGGCGGAAAGCCAGAGGGAGGGAGGGAGTCTGTTGGATCCTGATCCGGGCGGGCCGAGCCCTGGGGGCTCCTGAAGGGAAGTCTGGCCGGACCCTGAGCCCCAAGGCCAAGGCCCAGATGTGTCTGGCTGTGCTTGACCAGCAGCAGGGCCTCACCTGTCCACCTGGATTTGCAGGCTGGGCTCCAGGGTTGTGACACTCTGGAGCCAGCGACCAATCCCCCGACTGCTGATCGAGGGTGGCGAGGGCCTGAATGTCTGCGGCCCACGTCCAAGAGGGCCAGGTAAGTGTCCTCTGCCCCAGCCCACCTCCCTCAACCATGCCCTGCTCTGGCAGGTGGCACCTGCGGCCACACAGCACCCCTCTCTCTCATAGACCCTGCACTCCGGGACATGGCGCTCCAGCGTGCCGTCCTCCTGGCTGGCCTCCTGGTGGAAGTTGCTAGCAGATCCTCGGGAACTGCGGTAAGCACCTGTCATGTGGCACGCGGGCCCTTCACCAGGGGGTCTCACCCTTCCAGCTGTGGGCGCCACCCTTGTCCCAGCCCCAGAGACACTGACTGTACACCCTGTCGGGTTGGGGCCGGTGCCTCTGGGTGGGCAGCCATGCACAGCCCTACCCCGAGCCCCTGCTCCTCTCTGCCTGTTAGACCCTCCTTTCCCTCTGCCCAGCTGGACCTCTTCTTGGAGCTGAAATGGAGTCTCCACAGAGCTGCCCACTGGCACTGTCCAGAGCTAGTGGGATGGACAGAGATGCCTGCTCCAGGCTCAACTCGGCCAGGTCATGACTACCAAGTCAGTGACACAGGTGTGCTGAGCAGTGGTTCCTGGAGGTGCCTGGCCACGTCTACACATCTGGCTGCCCGTCTCCAGGATGGTGGGCCTTCCTACCATCAGCTCTGCCTCAGCTGGGTTGGGTGGGACAGGACAGCTGAGCCTCCCTTCTCAGGCTTTCCTGGCCCCCATGGCGCCCTCCATTTCTTGGCCACCCTTAGGCGCTCCTTGCCAATCACTGGCCGGGTCTTGGGAAACCTGGGTAAACACGGAGCAGAGCTGCCCGGAACGCCCTCTCGAGGCACCTCTAACCATCTGGTCTGTGAATGAAGCACCCACTCCTGCATGTGGGCCTGGCCGGCGTGTTTGCCCCTGAAGTGCTGCCTGGGGCAAACTTCCTCTGTGGGGGCCAAGCTGGAATCCCCCCAGGGGGTGTCTGTAGAATTGCAGGAGCATCACTGAGGCGTCCAGGACTGTGAGCTGTTTGGTCGGGAGTGAGGGGCAGACACATCATGAGAGCCACCCAGGCCTCTCACTAAGGAGGCCACGGGAGCCTGGGTTTATCTTCCTGAGTCACCACAGTCCAGAAACACATGTGCTTTCTTTCTTAGCAGCCTCATCTTTTGATTTTCAAAGCCACCAGCTGCAAGTGGCGACTAATAACTTCATGGTTGAAATGCCTGCCCTGCACCTGCCTGTAGCTCACAAGGCGAGAGATGGCAACTATGCCCCTGATCCAAGAGACCCCTGAGAAAGGGTGGCAGGGAGGGCAGTGGGCAGTGCAGGAGGGGTCCATCCCTGCCCACTAGGCTGCTCCAGTGCACCCCTGACGGGCTCTCTGGGTCAGCCTGAGGGAGTCTCCTTCCTGCTCTTAGGAGTCTGGGTGCTGGGGAGAGTGCCCCAGCAGGTCCCAGCCAGACACCTCAGTTGTTGGTTCAGTCTCCAAATGCTTGCCAGACAGCAAGTGCTGTCCCAGGGAGGGTCTGTGCAGTGTGGTCATGTGTCCTGACCTTGCTGTAGGTCAGCAGGTGCAGTCCCCAGATGCTGACTACAAGAGGCTGGGCCCTGGGTGTAGGGGTGAGCTCTCTGGGAGCCCCTTTGTGGATACCACCCTGGGCCTGGCCCACACACGCCACCTGGCCACAGGCCCTGGAAACTCACCCTGTCTCCCCTCTAGGGTCAGCAGCCTGAGTGCTGTGTGGATGCGGGGGACATCAACGCCACCTGCCCAGGCACTAGCCTGTGTGGCCCAGGTGAGCTTTGGTGTGAACCAGCCTAGGCGGCCTGGGGAAGGAGGGGCTGGGGTGTGGGCAGAGGCAGCAGGGTTGATGGGGCCTCATCCTGGGAGTTGGGGGCAGAACCCCAGGAGGACACGGTGGCCTCGTCCTGGGTGGTAGGGGCAGGCAAGACTGCCTGTTCCCCACAGCGAGTTTCAGCTGGGTTGAGACAAGCTGACATAAGATAGGAGCAGCAAAGTACACAAATGTGTGACGTTTTACGTGACTCAGGAGGAAATGAAGCCCCAAGCAAGTGGCAGAACCTCAGTGCTAACACATTAGATTGAGTGAGGAGGTGATTGTGGGCAAGTGACTGAGACACGGGCTGCTAAAGGGGATCGAGGGGGATGGTGACAAGGCCCCTGAGCCCCATCTCCTGCTGGTTGGGGGAAAGGGGCAGCTCTCATGGGGTTTGTTTCCTGCTTCTGGGAAGGAAAAGGGAGGTCAGAGCAGCCTTCTGGCACCTGCTATTTTCTCATTGCCTCACCTCAAAACAGTCGCTGTGTCCAAGTGGTGACATATTCTGGTTTCCTTCAGTCCCCACTTGAAACTTTACCTTCAGATAGTGTCACATACTGAAAGCCAAGTTGGTAGCCATGGAGAGATTTGGGTAAGAAGTTGTGGGACAGGAAGTCAGCAAAGGGGAAAGAAAGTAGATGGAACCAGGCAAGCACTGGCTCCTGTGTTGCACTGACCCTCAGCCCTGGGACAGGCCATCCCATAGACCACGTCAGAAAGAGGGTTGCGGGTGGGCTCCACCCACAGTGAGGCCTCTGCATGTGGGCAGAAGGTGGGGGCAGCATGGAAACCCTTGACACAGCCCAAGTCTCTCCAGAACTTTCCAGGAGGCTGGCATGGCAGAAGGTTGCCATGACCTGTTAAGTTGACTGCCCTGAAGGTCACATCTGTTTGCAGTGCTTTGGGAAAAGGCAGTTTTGGTTCTTGGTGATTCCAAGTTAGGAGGTGGGCGAGGGGCAGAAACGTTAGTTTGGAGAGTTAGAGCCAGACTCTGGGGGAGATGGGGATTTTAGGATCCAGTCTAGTTTATGGGGGCTGGACCTCAAGGTCGAAGAGCAGGACTGGAGTCTGCTGTCCACCAGCCAGACCAGTCTGCTACTGAAAGATCACTTCTCTCTACAGCTACCCCTTTCTACCAGAGAAGATCGCAGTGACACAAATTGTCTTAAAAATAAGTCTGTCCTCTTTAAATTGGGCCTGATTGTTTAAGAAGTTTAGTCAAAGCGGTGATTGACCACGTAGGCTTTTTTGAAGTCTGCTTTGCTGGCCTTTTCACAAGGACTCTCAGATGGGACTTCTGAAGGCCTCTCGAATCCAAGAAGCCAAGCCGAGGACCCACCTCCAGACCTCACTTTCAGTATCTTTACGTTGGGGTGAATTCCTCTCTTCCCGAGTCCCCATGTGCCCAGGTTCCTGGCCCTTCTGGGTGGTGACCTTCCTCACTCTCTGGGAAAGGTGTTGAGCCAGTGAGCCAGGCCCAGGCTATTTTCCAGGGCACTGTAAGGCTCCATAAAGTCAACCTTTGCTCCTTAAGTCTGGTCGCAAGTCCTGCCCTGCACACACAGCCCAGGCCTTCTGCATGCTTAGCCACCCTGGCAGTTTTGCCAAGGAGCCCAGTTACCTTAGGGCTGGCCAAGGGAGCCCTCGAGAGTATTGCTGCCTTGGCAACAGGTCTGTACCCAGGACCCCACATTCTTGGGCCTCCTTGAGACGCCTCCCTGAGGTCATCCCCTTCCAAGAAATGCCAAGTGAAGGAAAAAGAGTCCACATGCTTCAGAAGAGAAGCCCGGTTCTTACAAGAAATGAAGGCCTATTCCTAATACTTTTAGATTCCATTCTTGTAGAAGCCATTTCCGAGATGTCCAGCAAGGGGCCTATGGGGATCCCCAGGCAAGAAAAGGCAGGCTGTGGTTCCTATGGAAGGGCTTCTTTTTCTGAAGTCCATCCAAACTTCCAGAATGGGTGAACTAGTGTTCTGGAATGAACATAGTTTTACAAATGCAAAGCATAGCGCTCCCTGAAGGCAGCCAGCTGGCATGGCTGTGCTTCAAGCTGCATCCCCTGTCCCCCCCCCGGCACAGGCTGCTATGGGCGCCCAGCCGAGGATGGGAGCGTCAGCTGCATCCAGTGCAGGAACGGAACCCACAACAGCTCCGAGTGCAGAGGCCGTATGTCCTCCCACCCCTCCTCCACACCCCATCCTCCTGCCTGCTTCTCACCAGGGGGCCACACCTCCAAGTTCTGGAGGAAAGCGCGGGGATCCGGGTTGTTGTCCCCCAACCTGGGCCACTGTCCCTCCGTGGGCACCCACAGAGCCCCCTACCTGAGTCCTCATGTCCCTCAGAGCGGCTGTGGGGCAGGGGCTGCTCTGCCTCCATGGCCACCTCCCTTTCTCATTTCTGGCCCACAATTGCATTTGGGCTGAATCTCTGGCTCCCCGGGGGTCCTCCAGCACTGACCGCTGTGCTCCCCCACAGTCGCCGGCCGAGGTGCACAGTTCCCTGTGAACAAGAGCACAGGGATGCCTGGGCGGCAGAGTGTCGGTAAGTTTCTCAGCTCACCACACCAGTTCTGGGGAGATGCAGGGCACCATCAGAGCCGTTTCCAGTGCAGACCCAGTCACCCATGCTGGCCACTGCAGGGCCATGTCCATAGTTAAGGGCAGACTCCACCCCAGCCAAGAGCTCTGCACAGGACCCCGCCCTGCTCACAGAGCAGAGCCCGTGGTCTGGAGGCTTTATCAGCTTTGAAGTCAGGGTCTGGGGTTGATTCAAAAGGGTAGGTGTGGCTGGGGTCACTTGGCATGGGCCCCCACATGCCTTTGAACAAGCTGCACATCTTAACCTTTTGCCTTGCTCCTAGCCACCCCCGCCCCCCAAGCCCCCTAGTCCCTGGGAGCCCAAGATGTATGGTATTCCACGATGGGAGGACATTCTGAGGAACCGCAGCCCTGTCTCTGGGGGCTCCTCTAGGACGTAGGTCTCTGAGGAGACTACAGACATTGTAGGCAGAGGGAAGGGCCCACTACGCCATCTGGTCCTCAGGGCAGACACAGGAGCCACCTCCTGGGCACTCTGGGTCCCAGCCTGCTCCTGCTGCCAGGCGTCACATCGTACCTGAGACACCCACGGAGCCACAGAGTGGCCAGGCCATGGGGGTATGGTACTCAGGCCACCTGAGGCCACTGCAGTCAGGGAGCAGGACTTGCCCTGGGCCTGCAGTTGATTCAGGAGGATGAGTGAGGCCACCTCCTCTTCTGAGGTGTTGGGGTCGTGATGGGGGTTATGATCCTCCAGACCCTGGTCCTTTAGCAGAAGACATGTTGACCTGGACCAAGGATTCAGGCCTTGCCTGTGAGTCGCAGAGCCGGAAGCAAGTAGCCTTGTGCTGTTGTGGGCTGAACAGCAGTGTTCGGGCAGGTGGGCACAGACAGCCCCCACCTCTTGTGATATGGTGCTGGGCCCTGCAGCGGAGGGTGGTAGGTGAGGCCCGTGTAGTCTAGTGTTGAGCCCATTTCCTTTGTGGCAAATCTAGGACAGTTGAGCTGGAAGTTGTCCCTCCTGAGGCTCCAGTGTGGCCGTAGCTGGCCTCCTGTCTACATGTCAGGGTCAGAGGGCGTTTGCCACAGGCTTCTGAACGCAGAGTCCCCCTGCTTGGCATCAGGCAGGCTGATCTGCCGGCTGTCCTGATCCTATGGGGGTGGAGATGGCTGGTGTCCTGGTGCTGGGAAGGCCACTCAGGTGACAGTCAACAGGCTGCAGTGAGGCAAGCCAGGATACATCCTTGTGCCAGAGTTGTGGGGCCCTGAGTGGGTGCCAAGTGATGAGGAGGGGATGGGGAGCTTGAGCTGGGACACTGGACCTCTCGACAGCCCACCCCCTGAGAACTCCCCAGCTGATGCCTGGGTAGTCAGCTGAGAGCAGGGGAGGCCCACCCCTCTGCATGCGGGACCCTCGGCCCTGCGGAGGCCCAGGTGTGCACACTGCCAGCCCTCACCTTGCTCGCAGGGGGCCCTCAGGTGGCCGCCTCCCTCTTCCTGGGGACGTTTCTCATCAGCTCGGGCCTCATCCTCTCCGTGGCTGCATTCTTCTACCTCAAGCGAGCCAGCAAGCTGCCCAAGGTCTTCTATGGAAGAAACAGAGGTAGCTTCCTGCCAGGGGCCCCAGGGGAACAGCATGGGGCAGGGCCAAGATGCTGGTGTCTGGGGGCAAAGCCTCATCTTGGGCAGCCTGGAGGGGACTGGGTTGTCACATGGCTCTCGTGTCAGGATGGGGGGTGGTCATGTCCTAGGAATGCTCTGTGTGGATGTCATGGGATCTCAGTGTGAAGGGTGATGGTGGCAGACACTCTACAGACTGGCTTGTCTGCTCCATGGAGATGGCAGGATGCTGGGGAGGGGGTGGCTTGATTCAGGGCGATGAGGGGACACCATCCCAAGTGAAGGGGCAGGCTGAGGGCACCCACAGGCACAGGAGTGGGGACTAGAGTGAGCCTGGATCCGGGGACCCGCTGCAGGCTTGTGGACCCCCAGGCTGAGGGATGCACGGACACCTGCCTAGGCTGAGAGGACCCCTGCCCAGGCTGATGGCCCCTCGATACCTGTTTAGGCTGAGGGGACCCTTCCTAAGCTGAGGCTCCCCCAGGCTGAGGCACCCTCACAGGCTGAGGGCTCCCCAAGCTGAGGCTCCCTTAGGCCACGCCCCCCTCCCAGGCTGAGGCAGCTTTGTGGCCTCCAGGTGACACCTGTGCTCTCCCTACAGCTCCCGCCCTGCAGCCTGGTGAAGCCGTAAGTACCCAATGGGCAGGCAGAGGCCCTGTGTCTGTACACCTGGGTGTCTGTCAGTCTGGGCTGGTGGTCGTCCTGCCCACAGTTCTCACTGTGCCTTTTCCTCTTTTCAAGGCCGTGATGATCCCCCCACCTCAGCCCTCAGGTACGTCAGCTCCTCCTACCCTGCGTCCTATCGGGTGCCTTGTCTCTGGTGAGCATTTCCCTTTTATTTCTCAGATGCTCAATGTGTCAAGGGTTCCCAACATGGGTCCAGGGTCACCTCTGCCACCCTCTGCCCTTCTCCAGGACCCAGCTCTGCCCGAGCCAGGAGCTGGTGGCTGGTACAGGCCCTCCCGTGGCCCCTCCAAGGTGACGGGCACTTTGGTTTGACCGTGTCAGCTGTGTCACGGTTGATGCCGTGAGCAGAGGTCGTAGCCAGAGGCCACAGAGCAGGTGTCACCCTCCTCCTCCCCAGACTGTTCCTGCCACCATGCAGAGATCTGGAGTAGGGACAGGTGGGGACGTCCTCCTTTGGGGGACAGAGAAGTTACTCTGTCAAGGCTAGATCTGCTCTGTCCAGTGAAACACACATCTCATTTCTCCCAACTGGCGCCATGTCCAAGCACAGATGCCTGTGTTGTCTCCCACGATGGCCATAACAAAGTCTGCAAATCGGGGCTCAAGAGGATAGAAGTGTCTTCTCTCACAGTCCTGGAGGCTGGAAGTCAGAAGTCCAGGTGTGGGCAGGGCCGCTCCTTCCAGAGGCTCTGAGGCGGGTCTCTCCTGCCTCTTCTGACCTCTGGGGTTGCAGGTGTCCCTGGGCTTGTGGCCACATCCCTCTGACCACTGCCCCACCTTCTGCTGGCTTCTCCCCTCTGGGTCTCCTGCTCTCTGCCTCCCTCTCATGAGGACATTGGTTGCTGGATTTAGGGCCCATCAGATAATCACATCTGCCAAGACCATTTCTCCAAGTGAGGTCACATCCCCAGCTTCTGGGCCTTAGGACAGGTACACTGCAGGGGGCCACCGCCCACCCTATAGCAAATCGTGACTTGTGTCTTTGTGTTTCAGGAGAACCAGGCCCTTGCCCTGGCCAAGGGGCTCCAGGTTTCCAGGAGTTGGAGCTCAGTGGGCTTCCTCCCCCATTCCCCTGGGGCTGCCCACCCCTACTCCCGTGAGCCCCAGGGAAGCCTGCTGCCCTCCTGCCATGTCAGGCCCTGATCTGACCCTGTCTGTCTCTGACTCTATTTCAGTGCGGAAGCCGCGCTACGTCCGGCGTGAGCGGCCCTTGGACAGGGATGTGGGCCCCACCACTGTCTCCTCTGTGGAGGCCCGGGTGAGCAACGTCTGACCCCAAGGTCCACCCACAGCTCCACGCACCGCAGAGGAGGGGCCCCCATGCACAAAGGCTGGGTGCTGCCCAGCAAGACCTTGGGATGGGCCCAGATACGGCCCTGGCTTGGCTCGTCTGATTCCAGCCACATATGCAGAGGGGGAGCCGCCCACCTGCAGGCCTTCCTCACCACACATGGCACTCAGTATGACCAACCCGGGGCATCACTGCAGCCTCTGTCCCTGAGCCCAGGTGGGGAGCCAGGCACATGGGGTCTGGGCCCCATGGGAGAGACAGCCTGCAGGACCCTGGGTGCTCCTCTGCCCTGGAGCCCATGGTGAGCAGATTCCCTGCATCCTAAGAGCAGTGAGGCCCAGGCCTTTGAGGTTCCAGCTGCGTCCACATGGAGGTGGGATGGGCCTGGGGACCGCCCGCCCACCGCAGACTCAGGCACCACAGGCTGTGCTGTGTTGCTGCCCAGTCCCAGGAACTGCAGGACCGAGTTGCTTGGCTTTCTGCTGACTCCTGTGTGTGTTTAAGCAGAAACGCATTTTGTACAGAAGTCCAAGAGGCATGCTGCCCTCATCTGAGCCCTGCCTGGGCCCCAGGCGCTACAGCTCCTCATCCACCTGGGGATGGACACTGGCATGAAACTGCTGGAGGTCAAGGCCCCCCAGGGACGTGTCCACCCAGGGCCACATTTACCTGTGACTGCTGCCTGGAAGCCTGGACTGGCTCATCACACCAGCCTCCCAAGGACCTCGCTGGCCGGCAGTCCTGTCTGGCTGCCCCCACCCTGAGGCACCAGCCAAGGTTCCCGTGGAGACGAGAGTGTTGGGGCACCCACTGCGTGAGGGTGGAGTGTGGCCTGGCCTCCCCAGAATCTCTGTTGGGACTGCTGTCTCCTCCTTCGGGATCTGGTCCGAGTCTGTGCCGCCCGAGGCAGGGCCTGTGTGGCCAGCCTCCCACCTTTTGCACCATGATTCCCATTGGAGCCTTTGCAGTTTCTGGACATGAGCTCGGTCACCAGGACGTGAATGGATGACTGGCTGGTGGCCATGAGGGGCAGCCATCTGAAATTAGCATCAATAAACCACTCAGGCCTTTCTTACTGCCCCAAGGTTCCCTGTTCCTGAGCAAGGAGGAAGCCTCTCACGGGAGATGGGCAGCCCCCAGCCCTGAGGATGTTAGCCATGGGAGAAGGGGGCTTGTCCCAAGTGGCCTCGTGTAAGTAGGACATCCCAGTGGCCCCCAGTTGTCAGGACTGAGATAGGAAAGCGTGTGGGTGCCTCTTAGGTTTTTCTGTAAAGAGACTGTGCCTGTGCAGACACGACAACCATGGGGTACCCGTGGTGCCTGGCTCACAGCCCCAGGAGGAAGTTACACATGGGTACAGAGTGCAGGCCGGCATCACCTGTCACCTTTGGGAGGCAAGGATGGGTGGGTGACCCTTGGAGGGGCTGGCAAGCATGGGGATGTTTGCCGACTGGTGGCTTCATCCCAGGCATCCCAGCCAATCAGAACAGAGTGGGGGCAGGGCAGAGAGCCTGGACCGCCTGGTCTGAGGTTTGCAGCCATTGGGCACCCCCGCGGGGGTGTCTGTGGCCCTGGGCCTGGGCACGTGGGAGTGTGTCAGCATACTAGGGCTTGGGGGAGGCTCCGCCCTCTCTTCTGGGACAGTGGCCCAGAACTACCTGCCTCTGCAGCTGACAGCCTTGAAGGGCTGTGGGGTTCCCATGGAGTTCCTGTGGATGCAAGATGACCCTTGGCTTCCCCTGGGAACCTCAGAGCCGCCTCTTCTCTAATTTTCCCGGCCCTGCAGCCCCCAGCCTCAGCTTTGCTCCACCCCTGGCAGCAACACTCAGCTCTGAATTTGACCCTGCAGCCCTCTGGCCCCACACTTGAGATGCTGCCCCTGACCTTCCAGGCCTCTTATACCCTGGCCTCTTGGGCCCTCAGCCATGCTGGCTTCCCTTCTGCCGCTGGACACCCTGGGCCTGGGTGTGACTGTCTCAGGCCCCCCAAATAGTTGGGGGGGCATCCCTGGACTCTTGGGCACATGACTCTGATGGGTATCCAGGTCAGAAAGCAGGTGGGGGTGGGGCAGCTGGCAGGGACAGGGTGTCTGTGCTGGGGACCCTGCACAGTCCCCTCCTCAGTTTGTCACCTATTCCTCACCTGGACTCCATGTCTTCATGTAAAAGGGCAAGGCCAATTTGTGGGGTCTTTTCTGGTCAAAGCAGGCAGGTAGGGCACCTATCCCCTCCTAGTGCTCCACCACGTCAACCATCACAAGGAGCCCCACATCCTAGGAGGCGAGCTTGGTGTGGGGCTGGGCAGCGGGCATGGCCCTGGGGTCACAGCTGCAGCTCGTCCATTCATTCATCTTATCTGTTCACTCAGTGCCAAAGAAGCACCCAGAGCCGTCAGAGGTCAGCAAGAGGCAGTACCAGCTGTAGAGTTGGGAGGTGGGAGCACAGAGCAGGGCCTGAGGATGGGTCATGAGAACAGAGGCCCTGGTGGGGCCTGGGCACCGGGCCCCAGAAGGAGCCGGCCCCCAAGGCCAGGCCGACTGGGAACTTGGCTCACTGCTGGGTGTGGGAGGAACAGGACCAGAGGAGTCACCCTGTGGCCAGAGGGCAACTCTGAGCTTGTCAGGAGCCAGAGTGCAGAGGGTGGGGTGGAGGCCAAGCCCAAGTGCACCCCCTTGAGCCCCTGCTGCAGCCCAGCCTCTGCCTCCCAGGCTCTGGCCTGTGGGGGACACCAGAGTTTATACCCTTGTTGAGACCCTTCCCCAAACTGGCTGTTCTGTGTGCCCCCTGCAGCCCTCAGAGTCTTGAAGCCAGACCACACAAAAACTGGGGATGGGGAGCCATGGCCAGGGTGGGCCTTGTGGGGCAGGCCTCTCCCTTGCTCATTTGGCCAAAAGTAGCTTCTGCCTCCAGCCTAGGACTCCCAGGTGTCCAGAGGTCTTGGGGACCCCTACCATCTGAGAGCCATGATTGGACAGGGGTGGTCACTGCAGGCCTTGCTTTCTGCCCAGTCTGGCAAGTAAGTCCCAGTTTCATGGTCACCTGCCGGCAGCCAGGCTCCCCTCACACGTGCATGCATGTGCACACACACACAGGTGCACTCACACAGCCAGCTGGAGTAAGCTGGTGAGCAGCTCACCTCACACGAAGCCCACATGCTCACAAGATGCAGGTACTCTTCCCTCGTCAGGATAAGAGTGAGCAGGTGTGTGAGGCCAGGGGAGCCCTGAGCACCATGGTCCCGTGTGGTGAGACCCAGCCCCACCCTGATGGCACATCCCTCGGGCATTCCTGTCCCCTTGCCTCGGGCACTGACTGTCCACTGAGGAGCTCAGAGTGATCTCAGAGCTCGGATATTCCCAGGAGCCCTTGGGGAGGTGTGCTCAGAGGACCAGGACACTTCCTGGAGGAGCATGAGACCCTGAGTCATGATACCCGTGAGAACCAGCGCCCCATCCTGCTCGGGTGGGCCCCGCCCTCACAGAGACTCCCCATTCTCCGGGCCCTCGCCAACCCCGCTGGCCCTGAGCCCTTGCCAAGCCCCTCACTGAAGCTCTTCCTGCTCCCAGAGCACACAGGAAGCCCCGGTCCTCGCTTCCTCTCCTGCAGTCGCCCCACACCTCAACCTCCTGTGGCTGCAGTCTTGGCTGCCCCTTTCATCTCACTCTGGTTCCTCCTGGGGTCTCAGCCCAGGCAGCCTGCTCCATGCACCCATCTCCTAATGCCTCTTGATGACCTCTGACCTCTGTTGGCTGTCAGTGCTTCTCCTAGTGCTCTTGGGGCTGGGCAGCCTCTGGGGGTCCTGAACCATCCGCTGAACGGTCAGGGCCGTCCCCCACCAGGGTGGACCCCTCTCCCAGCCTCACTGAGCCCAACACTCCATCCCCACAGGCTCATGATTGGGGTTCCATCTCAAGTCCTGGGCCCCAAGGTCAGATCAGATGCACACTGAGGTGTGGTATGTGAAGCTGGGGTGAGGGGTGGGCAGGGAAGCCATGGGGTGGAGGGGAGAGCCTGCTGTGACCCTGAGGCCAGGAGGATCAGGTATCAGATGGAGTGGCTATGACACCTCAGGAACAGGGTGGCTGTGAGTGGTCACAGCTCATGCCGCTGGCTAGGCTCCAGGCCCCTCCAGTACAGCCCTCACACCCTCCATCCTGGCCCCAGACAGGCCTGTACGCAGGCTGGCCCTGTGGTGTGTTGGGACTCGGTATTGACCGGCTGAAACTGCTCCCTGTCCCCCAGGGAGACTTCCGGATCCCCTGCCTGGGTGGGCACTTCCTTGAGTCCCTTCCCTACCTATGAAACTAAGGTCCCCCCAACAGATGCTCCCCTGAAACAAGTCCTGTGGCCAGCTTGCTGCCAGACACGCCTTCACCCCTGACTCACCCCGCGGGCACTCCCAGCCTGACCTCTCACCCCACTCCCCAGACCCAGAGCAAGGAGTTCCCTCCCAGCCCCCAAAGGCTGCAAGTGGGGAGGGATGGGTGGGGACAGCAGAAGGCCATTTGGGGGGAGCTGTGCTTTTGAGTGGCAGCCACACAGATGAGGTGGGTATTGGGGGGAGGGGCAGGAACAGGGGCTGCTGGGGGAGGGTGTCAGTGAACTGACTGAGTAGGGGGCATCCTTGCAAGGACCCTCTGGGGGCCCACCCAAGGACCTCAGGTGCCCCCACCTTGAACAAGGCCAGTGAGCAGGTAGGTCTGTTTCTGGAGTGGCTGCTCCAGTGTCTCAGGAGCTGCAGAGTAGGAAGAGGTTTTACCAGGCATCCAGTCACCTGCCGAGACCTGCCCAGGCTGCAGAGGCCTACTGACCCCCAGCCCCACCCCAGGTTCTAACCTCTCACTTCTGACTCCCCGCCCTCTACTGCCCAGCCTGCCAGGGAGAGGATGGAAGGCCAGCCAATCCTGGAGGCCCTGGGCCGCGCCCTGGCCAGCGTGATCCCAAGCGAGCATATAAATACACCTGCCAGGAGCCCATACCCAGAGAACTCACACCTGCCTCGGACAGCGCTCCACACCTAGAGGAGCGCACACGCCCCACGCCCCACCTGCCTGGCACAGCTGCGGACGGACAGCTCTAGAGAGGAATACTAGTCAGGGGGAACACAGGCCAGTCTGGACCAGAGGAGACGAAGCCAGTGCTTCCAGGACGAGTGAGCTCGGGGCCTCAGCCTGGCTGAATCAGCCAAGAGGGTCATGCCCGGGCCCCTCTGACCCTGGCTACCAGGTAAGGCCAGCTCAGCTGGCACTCCCCTCTCACCAGTACAGGTTCAGGGTGGGGCACCTCGTCCAAAGGGTGGGGCCCAGTGCTAAGGAAACCGGTCATGTGGGGAGCGGCTGGAGGAGGATGGCTGCAGTACCCCAGACCCTGCTGAGGCTGCACCTGGCCTGCGGCAGCTGCTGTCACCAAAATACATTGACATCTCACACCACGATGCCAGAGCACTCGTGACATCACAGTGATACCACCGTGACTCACAGTGGTCAGTGTCAGGTGGCAGCAATACCTGAGCCTTTATGGCACGTCACTGCAAAGTCATTCCACCAGCCCTCCTGTACTGACCATCCAGTCAGGCTTGGGTCACCTCTGGGGGGCCTCATGGGCTCCATGGGGTCACATGGTCAGGTATTCCCAAGGCCCTGGCCTCCTCTGTCCGTCATGAAGGTGATAGGCAAGTCACCCCCTTACCTGCCGTCCTCCAAGAAGGACCCATGTGGCTGCCTGGGATAGAGACCTAGGCCCAAGAAGGGGCAGCAGGCAGGTCACCTGAGCCTCATCAGGGAGACAGGCTGGGCCTCCCATGGAGAGGGCAGTAGGTGAGGAGTGGAACATCCCACTGCCTCCTGGACAGCGGCTGTGGCTGGTGTGACCCTCCTGGGTGGTGGGCCAGCCCAAAGAGAATGCCTGGCTCATCCACCCTCCCCGCTCCACTGGCCAAAGGGTGAGGAGCATTTCCAGACCCTGAGGGCCAGCACCAGGCTCTTGTCGCCAGCCAGACGAGCTGGCCCTGAAGGTTGAGGCTATGGCGGGGAGACAAAGCCCCTCCTCAGGCCATGGCCACCACCCTTGCCTAGGCCCCCTGGTCTCCCGCAGCCCGTCCAGCCAGGCCTGGCGCCCACCCTCACACAACTGCCTATCAGTTATTGTGTGCCTACCAAATAGGCCACTAGCATTGGTGGTATAGTGGTGAGCATAGCTGCCTTCCAAATAGGCCACCCACACTGGAATCTGTGTTCAAACCAACTTCACCTGGCCCAGAGCCACACTCTTCCTGTGACAGCCCGGGGCTCCTCTGAGCTGCCTCTTCTGCACCGTGGCTCTTGGTATCACAATGACCAGGGTCCAGCCTGGCAGAGCCCTGATGTTTCTGCCCAATGGCATGGTCAGGTAGGCCAGGGCTGGTGGGAGGGGTTCACTGAGCAGTGGTCCACAGGGCCCAGCCAGGCTGGGGCACCCCAAGGTGCTGACCCCTGATAAAGCATGTGAGGAGCTGGGGAGCGCTGGGGTACAACTTGAGCAGAAAGACCTTGAAGTGGGGACAGGGGTGGGGGTACTTTGCAGAGGTGCCCACAGGCATCTCTGAGATGGTGCAATGAAGAGGGATGGGGAGAGAGTGACTGACTGACCTTGCAGGAGAGGAGCAGTCAAGATCACTCATAGTGGTCTCCATTGTTCCACAGCCCAGAACCATGTCGTCAAGCCCACAGGTGTGGCACATGACCATGCCGCCTACCAGCAGGAGCAGCCCCACAGCCACAGTGCCCAGGTCCCCCAGCTCAGCCAGCAGCCCCAGGTCTCTGGGCACCCCAGGCTCAGAGAAAGTGGCCTCCCCTCTGGAGTGCTCCATCTGCTTCTCAGGCTATGACAACATCTTCAAGACACCCAAGGAGCTCTCCTGCACCCATGTCTTCTGCCTGGAGTGCCTGGCACGGCTGGCAGCCGCCCAGCCCACAGGCCAGCCAGGTAGCGAGGCTGTGCCCTGCCCATTCTGCCGGCAACCCACAGCTGTACCCACTGCTGGAGCCCCTGCGCTGCGCACCAGCCGCCAGCTGCAGGCCCGGATGCCAGCGCACCTGCGGCAGGAGGAGCCCGTGTGGCTAGAGGGCACCAAGCTGTGCTATTACCCACCACCCTCTGTGCCTGGCCCGGTGGAGCCCGGCTTCATGTGCGTGGACATAGGCCCAAACAAGCCCGCTGAGCCTGCTGCACCTGCTCCCATCCCAGGCCCTGCTCAGCATCGGGGGCTCTTGGCCCGCTGCTGGGCACGCTGCAGGGACTGGAGGCGCGTGGCGCTCATCACAGCCCTGCTGCTCGTGCTCTTCTGTGTGGTCCTCTGGCCTGTGCAGTGCGCACTCAGGACTGGGAGTCTGCACTGCCTCCCCCGGCCTCCCTCCACCGCCGCCACTGCTGCCACCACCTTCTCACTCGGGTCCCTGGCGGACAATTAGTGTCACCACTCCCACCCAGCCCATCCCTCCAGGATCCCAGAGGAGCCCCCACATCTCTGAGGAAGCCCACCCCATTCAGCACACACAACCCCCCGCTCTCTGGGGCTGGGTCCTATGGGGTGGACAAAATGTCGCTGGAGCTTCCAAGGATCAGATTCCTACAGGCTCCAGAGACCACCTCCCTAACCCCCATCTTGCAGATGGGGAAACTGTGGCCCAGAAGAGACAGCTTGGCAAGGCCCCTCCCTGTCCACACTGTGAATCTGCAGGACCTACCCCTTGCTGAAAAGGGACGGGGCTTGCCACCCTCATCTTATTTCCACATTTCACCATGGTTGCTCGCTTCCCCAGGCAGGGCTGGCTCCTTCCCTTGGGTGGCCACGGGGACAGAGGGCAGTGGCAGGGAGCCCAGCTCCCCAGTGCCCATCCTGCCCTCCTGAATTGTATATTTTTAAATAAATTATTTTGTACCCACAATTGATAAGGGGTCCTCACCCTCTGTGTTCTTTCCTGTACCATTAAGCCCCTCTTTCCAGAAAAGTCCAGTCTGCCCCTTCCACAAAGACTCTGAATCCAAAGGACACCTCCTCCAACTAATAAAAATAAATGGAAAAAATAAAAGTTAAAAAAAATTTAAAAATATTAAAAAATAAAATTATACTAGGTGAAAAAAATAAATAAACCATTAAAAAAAAAAACCAACAAAAAAAAGGACACCTTCTGGACTGGACTCCCAGCAGCCCCTGGCATGTGTGGCCCAAGTTCCTGGGGGTCCAACTCCGGTCCTGCCTAGGCTGTGGATGGGCTGGAGCAGTTCTGGGCTTGGCTGCCTCCCGGGGCTGTGAGGCTGCCTGAGGGAGATAGGAAGGGCGGGGAGCACCTGGGGCACGGGGTACCGGGATGGGGCCTTGGCCTGGTCCAGAGTCCTCCTTCCCACTCCCACTGTGGTCACAACAGGCTGCAACCCCCAGAAGTTATGGTCCCACAGTCCTGCCCAGAGCCCTGAGTGGAGGGCTACAGGACCTCATGACCCCTGGGGACCAAGGCTCAAGGGTGCACAGAAGCGGAGGTGGAGACAACCAGCGTGTCCTGATGATCTACAGGCCTCGGGTTCCTCCATCAGAGGAGGGCCAGACCAGGCTGGTGAAGTGAGCATCCTGGGGGATGGGCAGGAGTCCTGCCACCCCACCTCTCCCCCACTCGGTACTGCTATCGGCCCAGGAATCCTGCACCGCCAGGCTGGCATGACGAAGAGAGGCCAAGCCGGTTCTGGCTTGCATAGGTCTCAGCCTCCTCATTCCTCACCCCAAAGCCCATGACTTCCTGCTCCAACCAGCTGTGCCTTTGGCTCAGAAAGACCCTGGGGAATGGGGCCCAGTCATGGGGATCCATAGGTACCCTTTCTCCAAGCCCCAGAAAAGCTGCAGAACTGATAAGGCATTTTTACTGAGGAGACCAGAAAGCCACAGGGCCATCCATAATGGGAGGGTGCCAGTGTGGACCACAAGCCAGTGACATCGCACCGTCACTAACGAGTCATGCTCTCATGTAGCCTCGCCCTCCTCGCTGTGGTCAGATGAGCACGTCACATATTCCCTCATTTAACAAGCATTTATCGACGAATGACTGCAATGTGACAGTCTGGGTTAGGTTTGGATGTGGCAGGACTGAGCCACTGCCAGGCCACAGCCTAGACCACGGCTGTGGGCAGGGCTGGGAAGCAACTCTGAAGGGGCAGGGCACTCAGAAAGCAGGGAGAAGGTCACAAATGCTGGTGAACAAACTGGCACTCACTTGCTGGTCTCATGTCCCACATACAGATTGACCCTGAGACATGTAGCACACAATGTCTTCACCGCAACATGCAGGTGGTCACTGGTGGCCTCCCAAACTGAGTCGAACGGCAGCCCTGCAGCTCTGCCTCCCCTCCTCCAGGAGGGCCAAGGCCACTGGATCTGCCCGCCCCTCACCATTTCTGGGCGTGCAGAGCTGGTCAGGGAGGGTCTGAGGGGGCAGACCCGGGACCCCACCCCCCATCCCCACCCCAATTCCACGGCGCTCAGGGCTGGGCGCCTGTCTGCACAATCCTAAACAGTCCATCGGAGGAACGCGGAGGCCGGCCTTGCTGGGATCCCGCCTTCTTGCACGGCTCCAGCCCCACTCGGGGCACGCGCACGAGGGGCTCTCACGGCTCTAGGCCTGGCAGGTTCTCATACTCGTGGCGGGAGGCCACCGGCATCCTGCGGGCGGAGACAGAGTTCGACTGGGGCCCACCTGCGATCCCGCCCCCTCGCCCCGGTCACGCCCCCAAGCCCGGGCCACGCCCCCGCCGCCGCCGCACCCAGCCGGGACTCTTCCCTCCACAGTCCCTGATGCTCCACTCACGCCGCTGGCTCCCGGGACAGCGCGGGTCCGGGGCTACAGCAGGGGTCGGCGGGCGAGACGCCAAGGTTCAGCGAGCCGCGCTCCTCGGGCCGCTCGCACTGAAGGGAGGGGCCCCTGGTCACCTTGGTGATACCAGCGCAGGCTTCGCCCCGGCCCGGCCCCGCCCCCACAGGCTCGCGGAGGCGCAGCTGTTCGCCCTGGATGTACCGCTGCAGCGCCAGGTACACGAACTTGTACTGCGCCTCGGTCTGCACCATCCCCGAGCGCTGCCGCCGCACCAGTTGAATCGTCTTGGGGACGTCTATGTCGCAGTCTAATCCTGGAGAGGAGCGTGCTCAGGGCGGAGCGGGGCCGGCAGGGAGAAGGTGGGATGGCTAGATGCAATGGGCGGGGCCGGCAAGCGCAGGGGGCGGGGCCTTCCTGGGGCGGCTCACCCTGCCTGCGAATGACGTCCACCAGGATGTCAATCACTATGATGGTGCCAGTGCGTCCGATGCCAGCGCTGTTGGGACGGACCAAGGAGGCCTGTGGCCAGTTGACAGGACAGAGCCGTGGCCGCTTCCCCGGTCGCACCTGTACCGCTGGCCCCGCCCCATCCCCGGTCGCACCTGCAATGGACTACCATGGGTCCGGCCCCCGGCATGCTGTTCTGGGCCCGGTTCACCTCTTCCAGGAAGCTAAGGACGCCGGTGGGCTCGGCCGGGACGCCGTGGTCCGGCCAACTGAAGTACTGGTAGTGCTTCACTGTGTGCGGCGACTCCTCCTGGGCAGGGTGGGCTGGTGAGTGCCAGCTGGGAGGTCTGGGCTGTCCCAAGCGCCTCGGGCTGCTGTGACCCTTGGTTGGGAGGGGCACAGGGACTGAACCGAGGAGAGACAGGGCGTGGCCCAGCGGGGTTTGCCAGAAGGAGTGACCAGCAGAGCCCAGACAGAGCCGGAGCGAGTGGGAGGAAAAGGTGGGATTCAGGGCTTGGAGGACCCGCAGATGGCCCCAGGCAGCTCAGGTGCCTGGGGAAAGGAAGAAGGATGGTCCTGGGGAGGAGCAGCTTCCAGGAAGTGAATTCTATTTAAGAAGAGCCAAACGCAGAGGCTTGCAGGCGCCCCGGTGGTTATCAAAGGAAACTGGCCAGGAGGGAAATGTGCCTGGGAGAGGCGCAGGCACCAATGGCATACAAAGAAGGCCGAAAGTCCTGAGACAGCCAGGGAGGAACTGGAAGGAGAGGCCTATACGGGTGTGAGGCCACCCTGGAGCCAGACAGCTGGGTTGAAAACTTGCCCGACTGGGATCACTGCCCAGCAGAGCCCAGGCTAGGACTTTGCCCACTGGGTTGAGCGATGTGGAAGCTACCAAAGCCACTGGGGTTGGGTGGAGGCTGGGCCAGCCCAGTGCAGACCTGGGGACTTCACGAGCACGTCACCCTAGTCCCACAGCTCCTGAGGCTCTTCAGGCTCACCTGGTCTGGCCTCCACACCTGCAGCTCCCGCACACAATAGCCCTGGGCCCAGTGCTCAGCCATGTTGCACACATGCAGGTGGCCGTACTCTTGGCTGCCATGCAGCTCTGGCCAGTATCGGAAACACTTGTTCTGGGGGGTGGGGGCATGGCATTAGCCATGCTGGAAGACCACCAGCACCCATGCCCCACCTCCCTGCGGGGCACACACGGGGTCTCTCCAGGGCCCTCACTGTGCCCCAGCATCTCTAAGACTGAAGAAGCAAATCTGAGCCAGCACCAACACAGGTCCAGTGGGGCACACAGCAGGAGGAGGGGAGGAACATGAGCTGGAGCTCCTACCCGGCCTCGCTCCACCTCCCTGGTGGTCATGACAATGACACGCGTGTTCTCCTGGTGCACCATGGCCCAGAAAGCAGCCACTGTAGTCGGCAGACAGCCCTGGGTGGCGATGTACACCTTGCCCAGTCCATGGCCTGGCTTCTCCTCTGGGTCACTCTGAAAGAAGGTGGGGTCAGCTGCCTGCTGTTTCCAGGAATTCAAGTGCCAGAGGACCAATTCAAGTTGATGCAAATGATATGCAAAGTAGCCCAAGTGGCTCACACATAGTCCATGGAGGGTGGGAGGGGCTTAGGACCAATACTTAATCCAGCAGTTTCTGGATTGTCCCCTCTGAGGACCCAGTGCAGACTGCTGCACCCTCCCCGAGTATCTGTTGTCTTTCCAAAGTCCACAGACCACTCCAGGAGCTCCAGGCTCATTATTATGGGGAATGGAGTGACCAGGGTTTGATTCATGTAGGCCACAGGTGCAGCAGGCCAAGTACCCACCCTGATGTAGTTGGCATTGATGTAGTCGGCTCCAGGCACTCTGTCATCCATATCACGAAGGATGACACGAGTGGTATCAACTGAGAAGGGAAGACGTGGCTCAGGTCTCCAGGGAAGAGGGATCCCCGCTGACCTGTGGTGAGCAGAGGCAGAGGACGAAGGGGCAAGAGAGGGCATCGCACCAGTGGTGGGGAATGACCCCTGCCTCCACCCCCCAGGACCCCTGTGCCAGATGGGCCCTGCACTTGGTGGGTGAGGACCTGGTCCCCATGTGACCCCAGCACCAGCCTCACAGGGAAGGATGTTCTTGTATCGATTCTTGGGCTTGTTCTCTGGCCGCTGGCCTTCCTTCCGGGGGTACAGGAGCCGGCATTCCTGCTGCTGCAGCATCTGGAGGAGTGGGGCTTTAGCCTGTGGCCCCGACTATTCCCCAGAGCCCTCAACACCCGCCATACATGCCCTGACCCACACCCCTCTGCTGGCCCTTGCCGCAGCCCAGAGGATGGGAGTCTGAGGGGGGGCAGCACCTCGAACTCCTCCCAGAAGCCCTGCTTGGCCTTCTCGCTGGCATCCGTGGCCTCGCTGAGCTCCTGCACACGGCTCTCAATACTTGCAGCGCTGATTCTCGTGGCCTTGAGGGGCTGGCAGGTAGAGGCTTGAGTCCAAGCTTAGCAAGGGCCAGTGGACCCCAGAGCGCCCTGGCCCCCACACCCTTGCCTTCAGCCACCCTGCCCCAGCACTGCCTGGTGCCCTTTTTCCCTGGTGGGGCTATGCCAGAGTCCCTTGTCCCCCAGAGGGAGAAGCTCACTCAGACCCCAAGGTTCAGGTGCCTGGGGACATACCTGCCGGAGATGCACCACAACCCCTGACCTCTCCACCATGGGGTTCTTCCTGTAGCACTCCACCAGATCTCCAAGGGTGTCGAACTGCTCACCACCTCCCACGTCGTACTTCCCATCTGGCTGTGGGGTGGCAGTGAGGGCCTGGTGGCTGCCCCCTCCCCAAGCCAGACCCCCACCCCCACTCCCGCCTCTTACCTGGAAGTGGATCATGATGTGGGTGACGCGCGGCTGGCAGTCCACCCTCTCCAGCTGCTGCGTGAGCACTGACAGCACAAACTCCCCAGGTTTGCTCTGACTCTCCCGAACCAGGAAGCTGCCTGGACGCCCTTTCTCCATCAGCAGCTTCTCAGCCTCCTTTCCAGACAGATGCCCATGATACCACCTGGCCCAGGGCAGCACATGTAAGACAGGAGGCCCTGGACTGGCCAGGTGAGGGGCACAGACCCACGAGTAGCTGAAGTCTCTGAGGCACAGACACCAAGAGAGACACACACCCACCCAGACCTCACAGGCCCGGGCAGCACTCACACCCAGGCCAACCTGTGTCAGCCCGGCCCACCTCTGGGACCCTTCTGCAAGCCTCCTCCAAACCTCCAACCGAGAAAGCAGCAGGAGGCGGGAGCCCTGCAGGGCCCCAGGGTGGCCACCAGGAGGCAGCCTAGTCCTCAGCAAGGAGGGGGCCAGGCTATCTCCCCAGGCCAGCCCCACCAGGCTTCCTCAGCAGGTGCAGCTGGCTCAGGCCTCCGCCATGCAGCCGGGGAAATTGAGGCTTGGAGACCTGCTCTCCCCAGGTCACCAGCCAGGCAGGCAGAGGGGAGGCTGGCTGCAGCTCTTCCACAGGCAACCCTCTGTGGCTGGTGCCTGGGACTGGAGAACCGAGGCCGAAACCCCTGAGGAGGCAGTGCTTTGTGCTCCCTCAGCTCTGCCACAGTTGTGCCCAAGCCTGACCTTGAGTCCTGGGGGCAGAAGAAATCCAGAAGCCATGCTATCGACCCCTGCCCCTCGGACCCTCGCACACACACAACTGCGGACACAGATGTTGGCCAGATGCAGACGCAGCTGCTCACCGTTCCGACGTGGGGTCCTGGCAGCCCAGCGGGTGCCGGAGCTCCACAGGGGCCCCACCACGCTCTCGGAGCAGCCCCCCACACTGGCCTGTGTAGTGCTGCACCAGCTCGGCCAGCGTCGCAAACTTCTCGCCTCCATACAGATCGTAGTAGTCACCTGTGTTCTGGATCTTGATGTGGGTCACCTCATTGTGGCGCCTGGAAGGGCCAGTGTACCGCCACCATCAGGGCCATTGCTCCTGCCAACCACCCTCCTTCCCATGAGCACTCAGCTTCCTGAACAGCCCCGGCAGTGTTCCTGCCCTGACGTCTTGGCCTCTGCCATCCCTCTGCCGGGAACAGCCACAGCCAAGGTCAGGTCCCTCCCTTCTGCAGGTTCCTGCCCAGTCAGTGTCCAGGTCTCATACTGGGTGGCGGGCACCCGGCCCCCAGTGCCCCTGGGGCAGCCAGGACTGGGTTTGGTGGCCACAGGCCTGGTGGCCTGGTGGTCGAGGCTGGGGCAGCCTCTCAGGACAGACTCTACCTCACCCCAGACCACCTCTCCAGGGGCTCTGAAGGACAGGGGGCTGGACTGCTTCTCCCAGGGGCCCAGTGTGGCTAGAGAAGCCCCAGGTAAGAACAGAATGCCTGTTGCTCGGGTGAAGGAATTCCACCCTGAGGACTCATCCCACCTGCTGCCTCAGGTTTAGCAGAAAACCCAGAAAAACCTGGAGTGCTTTTGGAAGATCCCCCTCCCCAGACCCTAGACTGACCTGCCTCACGCAGGGCGGATAAGGGTCCAGCTGTCCACTCTGTTGGTCATGGTCCTCCTGCCCATCCTCCCTACACATTGGCCCTTTCAGGGCTCTGGCCAGATCTCCAGTGAGTGGCACCCCCAACAGATGGGGGTACAATCACAGCCACTGAGGCCCCTCAGAGGGATGAGGGGGTATCACTGACCAGGGCCCACCTCATTGAGCCATCCATGAAGGTCTAAGTGGCCCCTCCTGCCCAGGGGCCACCTGGCCAGGAACACCAGGCCCCCCCAGATCTTGCATGTCTAGCCCCCAGCAGAGGTCCCTGCTGCTCAGAATGCTGTCCACCAGCCCTCTGGGAGGACTAGGAAGACTGACCCCCTGCTGTGCCCCCAGCTGAGGTTATTCCCACCCCTTGAGGTCCCCCAGGGCCTCAGGCCTGTCCACCCTGCACCACCCACCCACCTGACAGACAGTGTGAAGCCCCCAGGGCAGCTCTTGCTGGGTCTTGCCAGGAAGCTTCCGTGCTGGCCACTGGACATGAGAAGCTGCTCAGCTTCAACTCCACTGATGTTGGGGTGAAACCACCTGAAATGAAGAGGGAGAGCTGCTGATGAGAGAGCTGGGAGATACTAGGCCGTCCTGACCACACCCACGATGCCTGCTGGGGCCGCCCTGTGCCCAGCAGGAACGGGCTGCTGGGCCCGTCCCCCATTCTTGGGCTGTGTCCACAGGGTCTGGGGTCTGTGGGGAAGTAGGTGAGGCTGGGAGCGGCCAGGAACATAGATGGGCAGAACCTTTCCCACAGTGGCAGGTGGGCAGGGCAGACCCACCCCCGCAGAAGGACACCAGCAGAAACCTCAGCTCAAGCCCTCTGCCATCTCTCCCCCACTCACTGCCCACCTGGTGTCCCAGCTCAGCCAAAGGCACTCGGGATCCCCCATGGCCACCCAGAGCTCCCTTCCTCCCCTCACAGCCTGGCAATGGTGGCCCCGCCCCTCCCACCTTCTCCACCCCTCTCTGTCCTGCCACCACCCTCTCCCGAGGCACCCTGGCAGGGCTTGTCAGTCATTTGAGCAGCGCCCCTGGGAGAAGAGCACAGCCCACAGGCCCAGGTCCACCCTCCACCTGCTGCTGCCCACCAGCCTCCGCCCATCACCACACAAGGCCATGTACCGCAGGGCCCCCTGTACCAGCTGTTCTCTACTCCCGGCCCACACTGCATGACTGAGACCCTCTCCCCTCTCTTTGATGCTTATTCTGCTTCATTGTTTTTCATAGCACTGAAAACCGTCCTGACATATGTTACTTATTTATTGGCCTGTCTATCTCCTATGGGAGGATTTAAGTTCCACAAGGGCTGAAAACATTCCATGCAGTGTGTACACCAGGGTGGAAAACAGAGCCTGGATATTAACAAACATACGTGAATTCAGAAGTGAATGGTTAATGAACCTAAGGTGGGTGGTGAGTGGTGGGTGAGCTGGGCTGGGTGGCTGGCAGGAGCAGATCAGGAAGTCCAGAGAGTCGTCATTTATTCTGCTGGGGGTCCAGGCTGAGAGGGGCTCAACCCTGCCCTCTCCCACTGCTGCCCTGAGACCACCCTCACAGTCGCCCCCATGAGATGGGGGGACAGGTCAGGGGGCCCTCATCAGTGCTCCACAGGTGCCCAGGGCTGAGATCATAACTGCTATTTTCTTTACCTTTCATCCAGTTAGGGCAAGAATTTCTGGGCGGAGGATTAAATCTACTCGTGTGGTGGCCCCAGAGCGTCTCGGGGCAGGGGCCTGGCTCGACCCCCAGTGGGCCACTGTAATAGAGTAACTGGACTTCTACTGGCAACAGTGTGTCTCCCACAAGGGTGCCAATGGTCACTGCAGGAGGATCTTGTGCCCTCTGGTTCAGAGGTGTGTGTCCCTGGTTCACTGCACAGATGACACACGGTGTCCAGGGTCGTCCTGCTCCCTGCCCTGCCTCCAGTGGGACACCAGGGCCCCTGACTCCAATTCTGCCACATGCCACCTCCAGGCCTCATCCAGCTGTTCACAGTCATAACCTGGGCACAAGTGAGGCAGGCGTTGATGTGCCCTGGACAGACCCTATCCTGTCCTGTCTTGCAGATGACCCCAGACCATCCTGCTCCATTGAAATCTTTCTGGAATGGGAGTCAGTTCACGCCTCTTCCAGGTCCTCCTGCCCCTCCCTCTGCCCCATCCTGTGTTCCGTTTGCCCCTGCTTTCAGCTGCTTCCTTACTCCTCCAACAAGCCATCTGTGCTCAGTCTATACCTCACTGTCTGATGCTCAGCCCAGGGCAGGTGTGGGGTGTGCAAGTGAATGGATCAAAATTCAGCACGATCATAATCCCAGTTCCTGGGTCACAGTGGCCACATTTCACTGCTGAAAGCCATGTGTGGCCAGTGGAGGCTGTCGACTGCATGTGGGAAAGAATCATTTCCACTCACAGAAAGGATGGTCCTGCACTGGTCCACACTGCTGAGTCCCCAAAGACCAATTTCCCTGGGCTCTCAGGATCTCCTCCAGCCTCCTGGGGCTGGTGGTCAGGTCTCTTTCCAGAAACACGACCTCCACTTGGGAGTTCTCCATACTCTCCTGGTTCCCCACCTCACCTGGCCTGGGTCCCCCTCCTCCTTCTGACCCCGTGGTGTTGGAACCTCCCCACTGTGCCCTCCATGTGTCTCCACATCCACACACTAGGGATCCAGCCCTACCTGGGATCTGAGCTTCAAGCTCACAGACACAAGCCTTTCCAGCATCTCTGTCTGAAAAGGTAACAGCATCTCTGTCTTGACATTTGCAAGATTCAAAAGTCCTGACAAGGCCCCTGAGGCCCTGTTCCACACGGTTCTCGCTTAGTGAAGAGTCACTGCCTGACATTGCCCAGGTCCCTGCCCTCAAATCCCCAGCACTCTCCCAACGCTGCACCCTCTTGTCCTGACTTCCAAACGCCCAAGACCCAACTACTTCTCCCACTCCTCTGGGACCAGTGCCCACCGGCTCTTGCCTGGACTGAAGTATTCATTTCAGGCCCCATCCGTGACCCCCGGCTGAGCCATGGAAAACAGACGGGTTCTCAGAAAACACACATCAGAGCCGCGTAAGCCTTGTTAGTGGCCCTGGGTGGCTTTCAAGATGTGTGCTCACCTCAAGGACCGCCCCCCACCCCCCACTGGAAAGCACCCTCCCATCCCGTTGTTCATCCCTCTGTTCACTGACCTCACCCCTCATCTGGCCACCTCTGGCTGGTCCTGCAGGCCATGGCTTATACTCCCTCTCTGTTCATTTCCTGAGAGACACACCCCAGACCCTACCCTGCAGCACTGTGGCTCCATCTCTGCCCCTCCTTCCACGTGTGACAGCTGCAACAGCAAGCAGGCAGGTGTGTACAGGTTCTGAGTTTACCTGTCCCCCACCCCCGCCATGTCTTCACTGTCAGATGTGAACCACGGGGAGGGCAGGCTCTCTTATTACTTCCATGGCTCCCCAGGGTACACATATTGGTTCTGAGAGGCCCAGAAGCTCAGGTGACCTGCCTGGGGCCACCCAGCACTCCCATTTAGCTCTCCCTGGGGGAGGGAGTTATCCTGCCAGCCAGTCACTTCCTGGGCATGTTTTGGGCCTGGGATCTCGAGTTCCCTCCCATGCTGGCTCTAGAGGGGCAGTTTTGGATGAGTAGCCCAGCAGGTGAGGCTGCCAGGGAAGGTTTCCTGGGGTAGGAGCTGCACCAGGATGAGTTCTAGGGCCAGTCATAAAAGAGCAAGCCAAGTCACCAGGAAAAGGGTGAAGGCCTGCTGCTGCCAGAGACACTGCAGTGTGGTGGTGGGGGGGGGACTGGATTCCAGAGGAAGGTTTCTGACCCCCATTCTGGGGCCACCAACTCTGCTGAACCACGTCCTGTCCCAGATGCCCACCCCCAGGCCCCAGCAGCCTCTAACTCCAGTATGAGATGGGCGATACCCAGAGTGTGAGGGTAAGGGTAGAAGAGGCACCCAAGCCACAGAGCAGGGTGGATGCACTGTCCTTTCGGGGACTCTTGCTCATACTTTCTGTCCCTCTGTCCTCCCGACAAGCTGCCTGCCGTCTGTCAGGTGGAAATTCCCAGAGGGGGGGCATCCTGAGTGGTCACAGCAGCTCACACTGCTGCCTGCCTGCAACCCCAGGCTGAGGCAGGCTTCACACCCCCCACCAGGCTGAGAGGTGGAGTCAGGTGTCCGGCAGGTTGGTGCAGCCACGGCCCTGGCTGCAGGGTGGGAGGAGGTGGGAAGCTGCAAGTCCCATTTCCAATCTCCACACTAGGGTCACTTCTGTGCCGAAGGGCTCCCTGCTCTGTGGCAGGTCACTGACTCAGTTCTGCCCTTGTCACATGGTCAGGCAGGTCCGGGAGAGGGGCAGGTGGGGTTGGCAGGATACACTGGGCTCACCACCGAGTCAGACAGCTTGGGCCCTTCAAGGTCCAACTGAGCCCAAAAACAGCCCAGCCTGAACCCACTGGCCAATGTCTGGTCCAGCTCTCTGTGTGGCCTTGGTGTTTCATCAGTAGATGGGACACCCTGGGACCCTGGGAGTTCCATGAATGGCCTATGGACATGCTATATACACGGTACCTGCAGGAAAGACACTGTTGGGATGATGGGAGATACACAGAACAGAGGGGAGGACCCCAGGCTGGAACTCCAGGGCTGAGGACCACAGAACACAGTTAGTGTCTGTCTCCATCTCCCTACCCCTAGCCCCTCCTGGTCCCTGTTTATGCAGGCCTGTCCTGTCTATGCAGAAGTGAATTAACCAGAGACATGCTTTCCTCTCCAACCTGGAACACAGGGGGAACTCGAGGGGGCTCAGTAGCCCCCCATAGGACCCAGCCCCCTCCCAAGCACCAATATCAACACATCAAATCTCAGTGCTAGGCAAGACCTGAGCCCAGCCCTGCCCACAGTCGGAGTCCCGGAGCAAGTGGTGCCGATGGTGATGCCGGTTGACCCACAAACCACAGGGCAACGGGAAGGGGCAGCTGAGTGGGAGCAAGCGGGGGGCGGTGGGGGGCGGAAGGGATGTGTTTCGCTTGGGATTTGGTTGGGCCTGCCCAGGCCTGATAGGGCTGTGGGCAGTGACCCAAGGGTCAGAGGAGTGACAGTCCAGATGGTCATCACAGGGTGGGGCGGGAGGGTTGGCAAGGGCAGGCAGAGCCCCACCCGGGGCTTTCCCCGGCTGGCCCAGGGTCACATGAACATGACACAGACATGACCTTTTCTGAGCACCAGAACTTGCCTGGGGGACCAAGAAATGAGGCTCAGGGGAGACTGAGGGTCATTCCAAACAGCTCCCAAATGCCCTCCTCCCTGAGCTCCAGCTGGATGTTACATCTTGGAACCACAGGACTCTAGGCTGACAGGCTCTTGGAGATCAACTCACTTCCACTGTTCCTGAGCCTTAGAGGGCCATTGGCCCTGCCCAGAGGCCACCTTGCCGGGCCCACCACACCCCCTGTAGGGGTTCTGGGGCCCTCACCACTGAGGCACTGCCCTGGACCCATAGATCAGATCTTGTCCAGCCCCTCACTGATCTAGGGAGTTACTCGGGGTCTTAGGGCAACCCCTCCTGTGACCTCCAGCCTCACCCAGCCCCAGAGAGGTGTTCTGGATGCACCAAGTGCTAGAAAGTAGTGACAGGCGTCTCACACCTGTGTGGCTCCCCACTGACATCCACATCCAGCTACAGTCTGAGCTCACATGATTGTGTGCACAACCAGGGAGTGGGGATCTGGTAGAAAGGGCAGGAAGTGCCCCTTCCTGCACATGCCCCGCCTTTCCTCTTCATGGGGGTAGAGCTGCGTCTTTTCCTGGGTTGCACACACACCACTGTCAGGGATCTCGCCCCTAAACCTGGCCCTTAGGAGAGCCTGGGAAGGGATGAGCCTACCTTGCAGGTCAAGGGGCTTCCAGGATGCTCCCAGTCCTGAAACTGGGGAAGGGCGGACCCCCAGGTGGAAAACATCTTTGGTGGCCAAAAGGAAGGCAAGGAGTCCAGGAGAGTTAGAGAGAGAGGGTCTGTCAGTGACTTGACACCTGCTGTCCACTCTAGGCTCCAGCGGCTGCCATGCAAGAGCACCATCCATTCCCTAGGGTCAGGGAAACTCTGACCTCCGCCCAGGCCCAGCCCCAGATTGAAAGAGTCCTTTCCACCGGCCAGAGTGAGACTAGGCCTCACTGTCCCGGAACCCAGGCATCTGCCCCTGGCTGTGGAGATGTCACAGGTCACACGTGGAGATGACATGTCAGAAGGTCAGGCCTGGGGGACACCGTTCAAAAGCAGGAGACGTCCCAGGTCGCACCTCTCCCGCACCCCCTGTCCGCACCCGTCGGCCCAAAGCGCATGTGGTGGGGGCCAGCGTCAGGCCACTGGGTGGCCAGGCTCACCTGCGCGAGGTCATGTCTGCTGGGCTCCAGCGCTCTTGCAGCTCTGAGGGGGCCCCGCCTACCCAGAGGATCCGCCCATCAGAGCCCCGCCCGCCCGGACCCGCCCCGTCCGAGGAGCCACGCCCACCGAGAGGTCCCGCCCCTCCATATCTCCCTTAAAGGAGCCGAGCCCTCAGGTCTCGCTGCCTTGCTGTCAGGTTGGGTTAATAGCCCCAGTTCCTGAGGTCGCTCCGAGCTTCAGGACAAGGAATTCACACCATATTACGGACTCAGAGGGCGCAGGCGCCAGGCGGCCCCGGCCGGAGCCGCCCGGAAAGTGATTAATTATGGGTTCTGCTCGTTTGGGTGCTTTCCTTCCAAGAACCTTTCTGGCTCCGCCTCTGTCCTGAGGGAGGAGGGGCTGCACTCCCCACACCCTGGAGGGAGGGGCTGGGAGCTAGAGAAGCGGGAGGAATAGGCCTCACCCGCCCTGTGTCCCGGAGAAGACCCCAAAGAGGCGGAGGTGGGAGCCCACCTGATAACTGGGTCCTTTCCTCTTACCCAGTCCTAAGTTGGGCTGCTAAGTTCCGTTCTAAGTTCCCTAAGTTTCCTTCTCCCCACCTCTGCCACTCTTCCTAGGCAATGCTGACACCTCTCTGACTGCAGGGCCTTTACTCCTGCTACAGATGCCCCTGCCAGGTCCGATTGTCCCCGGGGCCCACAGGCCAATCGCGTGGGGGTTCCACCCTTCCTTGCCTGAGCTCCTAACTTTGGGATCCCCATTAGGAGCCTCAGCGCCTGTCCAGCACCCCACCCCCTCCCCTTCTCAGGAGTGGTACACCACACCATGACTTGGAACCTTTTGCTGCTTGCAACCCCGACCCCAGATCCCCAGCTGAGCTCTTCCTCTTCATGCTCCCACAACTTTGAAAGCCCTGCACCCTCAACACTGGTTACCCTGAGAGCCCCTCCTGGAAGCATCAGCTCCCAGAGCACCCATTCCTGGTCCTCCCAGCATAGAGGTCTCCTCTCCCCTCATTCAGCAGCAAGCAGAGCCGCCTACTCCCCAGTGTGCCTGGCCTCAGCCCAGACTCCCCTCTGCCTGGTAACCCATGGCCTTGTGGATTCCATTCAGGTGGCCTCAGCTCCTCAAACCTAGCCACTCCAGATGTTACAAGAAGGCCCCCCAGGTGCTTTAGCACCTCAGTCAGTGTCTTCTCCATCCCATGTCCAGCCCAGCACAGGCCCACCCCATCCCCACCCACCAGGGTTCCCCCCAACCCATCCCGACTCTGCCACAGGCCCCTTTTACCCTTAGTATAGCCAACCTGCTGTCCTCACAGCCCCTCTTCCCACCCTGTGCTCACAGACACACAGATGTAGGCAAACATGCACACACATGCACACATGGCAGGACCTGCCATCCCTAAAGAGGCTACCTGGGGTGCAGGCCTCATGGACCTACCTGGCCAGCCCCATGCACAACAGTGTGGTCACTCACTGCACAGGGTCTCCTTGCCAAAAGCAGCCCCCAACGCAGCACCATTCCTCCATCCAGAGCCACCTAAAGGAGGTTGAAGCCTGCCCGCCACCATGAAGCTGAGCATCATGGCACTCTCAGGACAGAAACCAGCCAGGTGGGAGAGCGTAGGACCAGTTGGTGCTGAGGGGGGTGGCATTGGTGTGGAAACACACAAGCACCTGTTGAAAGTGTTCAGACTTTATTTCATGGTGATTGACACAGACACAGGTTGGAGTTAGTAACAGAACATATAAGGCTCCTCCAGCCTCTGAGCCTGACAGCCCAGGCCTGGCTGTGAGAGAGGCTGTGGGAGGGTTGGGGTTGCCACCCCCACCACGAGAGGTGTGGGCGGCTGGGGGGACGGGACCAGATGAGACCTAACATTGCAGTTTAAGGCATTTCTGGCTTCACAGCCATCTCTGCCACCCCTGCACCTGCCCCTTGGCCTTGGTAAGACACCCAGTCTACCCCTGGTCACTTTTGGATAAAGGACAACCACTCCTCACTCCAGAATCGGACAGAAGGTTTTCTATGTGGTGTCCTCAGCTGTCCTCGGGCCAGGACAGGAAAGACAACAGCCCCGCCACCCCAGGTGTCAAATAAAATCCATACATAAAGACTCTGCGGTTGGTGGCCATGCCTAGACATGCATCCTTGAGAGGGGATGCTGGCCAAAATCAAGCAGTCCACCATGTCACAAGTGGCCCTGCTCCTTCTCAGGGTTTCTCATGGGGACTTGGGCAGTGGGAAGGGATCACAGCCACGTCCAGGGTGGCTGGGTGGATGGGCAGGGCCAGCCGTGGGTCAGGGTGCCCTGAACAGGCCTGGGCTTGGCCTCTGCTCTCCAGTGCCCTGGGATGGGTGGGCACAGCTGGAGGGAGGGGCTAGCATGGCCCCAACAGTGACATTATTTCACAGGATTGGCACATGAGGCCCAGGTTCAGCAGGCCCTGGTGAGGCTGGCCCTATCCAGCACAGGCAGGGAGGAGGGGCGGCTCAGCTGGAATCCAGAAAGACCCCAGGCCTACACAGAGGAAGGGCCCCTCCAAACTCCACAGTGCCTTGCTGGCGAGGGACAGGCCTCGCCAGAGGGAATGTGGGCAACGTGTATATGCAAGGTCTGCCAACAGGCTGGAGAACACAGAGGCCAGCACAAGTGGACACTGCAGGCACAGCCTGAGAGGCCAGGACACAGTGTCCTGAGGCAGAGGGTCGCATCCCAAGGCTGCTGAGTGAGCCAAGTCCTCCATGTGCTGAGTTACCTTCCTGACCCTGAGAGTCCCTCGGCACCAAGTCCATCTCTGCAGCTCGCCTGCCTGGTTAGGAGGGAGGCCGTGCCAGCAGTCCCTCCGGCCGTCACATAGGCAAGAAAATCATATCAAAAAAGCAACAAGTTTACAAAAATAGAAAATAATTACAACAGGGTGGGCAGCGGCTGCAGCGTGGCTCACAGGGCGGGGCAGGGCCGAAGCTCTGGCTTGGTGATGGCGTCCTCCAGCAGGTGCAGCGGGCGCTGGCCCACCACCACGTCCCGCAGGCAGCCCACGAAGCCTGTGCCATAGGCTTTGGGCAGGGCCTGACCCGTGGGCAGCTTCTGCAGGCCACCTGCAGGAAGATAGAGGAAAGGTCACCAGGTTGTGACTCAGTGATGGGCAGGTTGGGCACTGGTGGGCAGAAAGGCTAAATGACTAGGTGAGTTACCAGAGGGCTGTCAGTGCCCTGAGACGACCAAGTGACGAGCAGGTGTGCTCCAGCTTTCTGGCCCCACCCCATCCTGGCTACAGCAGGGGGTAAGATAGGAGGGGAGGACCCCACCCCAACCCCAGCCCAGCCAGCCTGCCCACTGTCCTGGATACAGTGCCCCTCTTCATTGCCAGCCCCAGGGGGCAGAACCTGTCCCTCAGAGACCCTTGGCTGCCCCTTCCCTGGCCTCCCCCACAATCACTCACCCAGCCACAGGGCTCCATCTGTGTCCAGCTGCGTGGCGCCCAGTGGGGAGGAACCAGTCACAGGGGCCTCATTGCCCACCTGAAGGGAACCTTCCCTCTGTTTCCTGGGGCGTGGGTGGAGGGAAGCCGTCAGGGCTCCAAATCCTGACCCCCATCCCTTTTGTCCCAACACCATACCCTGGGGACCATTCACCCAGTGTCACCCTGGGGGCCAGGATGGAACAGCACCAGCCCCAGAAGAACATCTGGTAGCCAAAGGCAGGGGGACCTCCTGTGAGAAAAGCATTGCTGGAGGGGCAGCCAGACTCAGACCAGCATCTGGGCAGAGCAGGGACTCCCCTTTCAAATCAGGGGTTTCTTGGCCATCGCTGCTTCTCCTGTACCCTCTTGTCCCTCCCTCCTCATTGGCAGTGACCTCAGGTTAGGCCACCAGCAGCCCTACCCACCACCCCTCCCCCCAACACACACACCAAACTCCTACCCTGGCCACGAGTGGTCAGGCATGCCCTGGCCGGGCAAGTCCAGACACCACCCGCTGCTATTCTTGGTGGCCCCAGGCTCCCTGCTGACCTGTGTGCCCTGACCCGCAACCAGCGGTTGGTATTGACTGGTACGGTGGAGCGCAGCACCACGGGCTGGGAGCCCAGGTCGTAAGCCAGCTGCAGGCGCCCGTCCACGATGGCCAGTGCGATGTAGTCAGCCCGCTCCGTGGCCTTGCCACTCCACAGCACCAGCCCCTGTGTGGCCTCAGTGCGCAGGCTCAGCTCAAAGTGGTTGCTCTGGAGTGCCTTCTCACTAGTGGGCAGAGGGCTGGTCAGGACCTCTGGGAAGGTGGTGGGGATGGGGCAGGGGAGGGAGGAAGGTGAGGGGTATGACTCCAGAGGCCATAAGGGCAGTGATGCCACCAGAGCTGCTCGGGGGGCAGGTGGTGGACATGGCCAGTGGGACGAGAGACAGATGGTGGGGCCAGGTCAGCAATCAGAGGAGCGAGGTGGACAGACAGAGGGAGAGATCGACAGAGATGCTCGGGGAGATGGGAAGGCAGTGGGCAGACAGCAGGGGCCAGGGGCCACTGCTCACCTGGGACTGGCCCCGGAATCCAGAGTTTCAGGGCTTAGAAGCAGGAAGAGAGGGAGGCAGGTGAGCAGCGGGGCAGACAGGCTATAGCGCAGGGTGGGGCGGGGCCCAGCGGCAGCCCTCCCCACACCCCCTCTTCACCAATGGAAGATGGGGGAGAAACATTGGCCCCACCCGCCCCAGAGCCCTGGCAGTGACACACGTGAACATACATGGGCAAACACAGAGCTGGTGGGCACGGCCCAGGCCAGGTGCAGAGGGAAGAGCTCTGACACGGGTGGCAAGGAATAGTGACCGAGGGCCCCTGGCTGGGAGAGAGCCCTGGATGGGCCCCCACACACATGCATGTGTGCACACATGGGAGCACATGGACTCACATGCACACTGTGACACATGTGCATATGTGTGCACCCAGATGTGGGTATGCACATGCTTGCACACTGTGCTGGTGCCCTGTGGTGAGGGGCCTGGCTGCAGGGGTGAAGGG